TTAGGCCTCCAGAAAGAAAATGACTGGCATATGAAACCTTTGATGCATAAAATCAAGTCTGAGAGAGGAGGAGAAGGAGGCAGGAAGCCTTTAGCTTTTCTTTTGGAATAGGCTTATTTCTATAAATCAGTAGTTCTGCATCTCTGAAATACTGGCTAGAAGGCAGGGCTGGGCCTTCTGAGACTTGGGTCTATTTCTAGCGCTATCAACGGTTTGACATGTGACCTTCCCAAGGTCAGTGCTCCTGTTTTCCAATCTGTTGAGCAAATAAAATTATATTGCATTCCATTGTAAAAGTCTCTGAGGTGTGTTGATAAAAAGAGGAAGAACTAGGTATTCCTCTTACATAAGATTTGACTTTTTGCCTTTTACCCCTGAGTAATGATGATAATCACCTCAGTCACCATGTTTGTTCATCACATTTCAAAGCACCTTTGGGCTGTGTAATTCCTTCCATTTCCTCAGACTAGGAAATTGACACATGGGAAAGAGAAATGAGTTTCCCAGAGTCACATCAGCAAACTATTGGTGGAGGCAGTGAACTGCCTCAGTGGTGTATTCTGTACTCTGGAAGGCATTTCACTCTCCATTATTAAACAATGGAAATATGTTACAGTTAGAGAGAGCAGAGACATAAACTTGCCTACTTTTGTTCATTTAAATGATCCTTATATCGGTCAGAAACTGTGGCATGAAAAGGGATAAGAAAATACTTAATTATTAAAAACAATTTTTTTTCTTTGTTTTTTTTTCTTGGTCAAGGAAGATGCTTTTTAATGCCTTATGTCTAAATGATACTGCAGGTTTTGTTCCACGAGTTAACTCATGTTCTTCCTGTCTCGACGTGTGATTTTTTCACAAGATGGAAGTAATTTTTAACTGATTTTGAATTATATGAGTGCACTTTACTAAACTACTACATCATCAGAATTTCAAAGTGAAATGACTACATGGCTTTTATGGCAAACTACACCCAAGCTGGATGCAAAATCTGTCTATGTTTGTGACTCCTATTCACTTTTCTGACTCCTACTGTTTGAAGCTTGTAAGACTCACCCTGTGACTTATGCAGGCCAGTGTTTCCAACACTGGTTGGAATTATCACATGGTCTGATAAATATGCATACTGAAGAAGAATGTGTACAGGTTTTGCTATGTATATAGGTTTTGCTACTGGCTCCATAGTCTTGACATCTAATGTGTGAAGTCTACTAGGTCAAGCTCAGTCTCGCATGAAAGCACAATGCAAGCAAGTCCTCCAAGGGCTCTGCACACCCTGGTGGGTGCTGTAACTCATACTCTCCCACTGCTTTTCTCTGGTTCAACAGATCTCAGAATTATTTTTCTTGTAAAGTAGAACAGCTGCAGCAAGAAGGCTGGTACCCTGGTAGTTGAGGGTATGAGCCAAGAAAGAGGAACATGTGGGCTGGCTCTTACATTGCAAAAGATAGAGATTTTTTATTTTCTCATCCTGAGCCAGTCTCCTACTCACTAGATAGAAGCAGGCAAACACTTCTCTAACTTTCTTTTCTTTATTTATTTATTTTTTTTTTTTTTTTAATCAATCATCATCATCTGCCACTGCATCATTTTGCGAAGTTCCATATGGTATATGTATCACGAGAAGAACTGGAACATGCTCACACATCACTGCCCTCAGGAAAATGAGGAACACAAATATCTAGTTTCAAAAATCTTGTTAGGCCTAAATGCAATTTAGGTACATATCTAGTAGTTCTGTAAAGACTGGCCTGTGAAACATATTGAGATAGAAAATTCTGGGAGGAGATCCTTGTATTAGTTTAACCTGTCCTACCCTAACTTAAAAGGGTTTAAACTGAGCTGTTTTTTTTTTAACTTTAGTTACATTGGGAAGCTCAGTTTCTGCAGGAGTTGCACCAACATATGGAGATGCCTATGCATAGACAAAGCCTGAATAAAGCTATAATTTCAAATTAAATAATGATCATATAACTTTTCTGTTTGCTGAGTCAATCATAATTTGTAGTGCACACATTTACAGAGATGTTTATATACATATTTTTATATATGTATGTGTATCCATGCACAGAATAATGTCTGCAATGTAGGATGTCTTGATTGTGATTATACCTCCCACAGAAATAATGAAGCCAATTTTACAGAGCATGGCACAAGTATTGAAAGCAGGGTATCTACAGAAACTTTGCAGATGCTCTGAGTTCTGCTTTGCAAGTTCTACAGTGTTAGATGAGGTAATTAGCTTTTTAACATGTTCTGATATAACACAAATAAACCCTTAACCAGTGTGACTTACATAGTCATGGCAACAGGAGGATGAGAGGTTACCAACTGGGAAAATGTAAAAGTACCCAGTACCTTTTCCTATTTTATTTTCCATATCAGGAGCAAAAATGTTCCTGTTCAAAAGGCAATTGTGATGCTCAAGACATTTGTCTTGTGCTTGGTTAAACATGGGACTTTACACCCAGAAGAAAGGTGTAAATAGGAAGCTCATTGTCTTAGGCTTCTAGAAGTTGCAGAGGCAAACACAAGGAAAAGATATCAGACAAGGAAAGGAGTCAAGGAAAATAGACTTTGGTGCTCTTTACCCTATGTGATCTTCTGGACAATTGGAAGGGGACAGTGTGAGCTCTGGTTATTCAACCCGTGTATAGATTGTGAACTGGAATGCATATGCTGGATTTTAAAGGCCCATATTCATTGGCATTTCAGTGCTGCATGATCTCTCACTTTATCACATTCTATAGGTAAAAGAGCAAATTATTTCAGCCAGACAGATCCTCATCAACCTGACCCAGAGTGGGTATCTCCTTAAAACCCTTGGAAGCAGGCCTTTTCTCCTAAGGTGTTCATTTCCAAATTTAATTCAAGAAGATGTTGAAATCTGGAAATTTAGAATTATGGCACTGAGTAATGATAGATTAATTCCCTGTTCCTGACACATTTTTCCTGTGTAATTTGACTTACAGAACCGAAACATCTGATACCGGATCTAAAATGTATCATGCCTCTTTTCTTCCTCTCTGACTTGCCTTCTGGATGCAAACCTTGGCATGACAAATGCTCTCTCAGTACATATATCATATATATAAGACATGAATCTCTCTATATAGTTCCAAAATATACAGCTGAAAACACAATGGGTTCCTTATCTAAATAGTCTTTTGGAATTTACAAAGTAGTCATAAACACTCTTACATCTTCTGGCAGACTTTTTAACTCTTCCTCCCCCCCCCTTTGAAATTCTAGGACCCCAGATGGCTTACACTAGGTTCCCACCTTTCAGCAGATGCCTTGGAAGAAGCAGGCAATTTGTCCTTCATGCTTTGACAACAGGTCGTTGTCTGCTTCCTCTTGATTTGTATTTATTTATTTATTTAATATCTTATTAATGTTCAGGTCTCTGGCTGCATTTTGATTCCTTTTACAGTGCTTGAGCAATTTTAATAACATGAAGGTGAAGATGCTCAGAAGGTTTATTCTACGGTGGGAGAAAGAGTTTCTTAGTCTCCTTAGTCTTACTGCCCCACAACCAACTTAGTGTTTATCAGACTGCAGCTTTTCAGCCCTTCCTCCCCCAAGATTTTCCTAATGGTGATCTTGTCGCTGCTGCTGACACGGAGTAAGTCGCCTACCCCAACTCCGACCCCAACCCCGACCCCAACCCTGTCCCCTTCCCCTGATTCTCCCGCCTCCTTCCACAGAGTTTCCTGGGGGCTTCCCTGCCTCCCCGTGGACTTCGAGGCTGCTATTTTTCATCCATGGAAGGTTTCCAGCCAGCCTGGCACCGCCCCCTCTCATCCCCCACCACCCCGACATCACCGAGAGACAAAGTCAAAGAAACCATCAGGAGAAATTAATTAATGCGCCTCAACGTGGCGCCAAGTTTCCTTCCCTCGTTTTTTTTTTTCCTAATGAAACCACTAATATATTTATTGTGGTGCTTTCTGGCTCAGTGGCATTTTATCTCTTCTGGTGAGTTTGTAATTTATTGGGCAGGTTTTTTCGGGGCCAGGATTTTTCTCTTTTTGTCTGTTTTGTTTCCTCCTCCCGTCCCATTTCCTCCCTCCCCGCTCCCTCGTCCCTCCGTAGTCCCTGTGCACCGTAACCAACTGAGAAACCAAATCTTCATCCTGGGGACCCGAAATGGCCACGGTAACTGTTGCAACTTGTCTGTGGTCTAATTACATTAATTTGATAAGATCATCATCGGCAGGATGTCTAATTTACTTGCAAGCAGCAGCCAGGGAAAAGCGTTGACCAAATTAGCATGCCGCCGGGACCAGGGGATGCAGGCTCCATATGGCTCCCTGGCTTTCCGTATAAATAAACCTCCTCCAGCCCACTCCCGCGGTTCCATCCGCCCCCCCCCCCCCCCCCACCAGTATGCCGCAAAGTTCACCAGCGGCGCCGGACGGGAGAGGTGCAGCCCTGAGATGCAGGAGGCACCCGGCGGCCAGGCTGCCTCTCCCGACCCCTCCTCCTCTTCCTCCTCCTCCCACTTCTCCTCCTCTCTGTCCTCCTCCTCTTCCCTCTCCTCCGCCTCAGCACGATTTAACAAGGCAGGGGGAAACGTGAGTTTTCACTTGCATCACCAGAGGTGCAACTAGTTCTTCACATCTGAACCCCGGCCAAATGATGCAGAAACTTTTGTATGCTTGGCTTCTTTCTTTAAGGCCAGGCACAGATTTTTTTCCGCTGTGTAATCTCTTTTGTCAAAAGGGTGGGAGCTGGAAAGGGCGGTGGGAGAGGGGGGAGGGAGTCGAGGGAAGCAAGCATTGTATTTCCCCAGAGAGGATATTAGGAGCATTTCTAGAGAAAGATCGATGCGTGTACGTAAGTGCATCTGTAGATTTTTTTATATATATAAGAATGTCAAGATACACAACCGTCAGTTTCAGCCCTCTCCTATGCTTAAGGGAGACACTGTACGCTGTGGAAACAGGTAGGGTGAATTGCTGACAGTGCAGCAAATACCCTCCTCCCTACCCCCTCCTTGTCTGTGATCATCTAAATTATAAATGTATAGAAAGAGGATGCAATAATCCATGGTTCAGCATTGCACAGAGAACGCCAGCAAGACACCAAATCCAGCGTGAAACAGTTAGGCTGCAGGGGAGGGCGAAATGCATTTAAAGCAACGACAAAAATGGCGTGCAGAATAATTACCTCAAGTTGCTATTCGCTTGACACCCTGACACTAATTCTGTTGCAGCCATTAGGAAATACAGTGAGGCAAATGTACCTTCCTCGCCTGCTGGTGCAGGTGTGAGTGTGCGTGAATGGGGGCAATAAGGCAGGCCGGGAGGGGAAGAATGCTAAACTTTCCATCTTAAAAGAAAAGAAATAAATTAAATGATCCATTTAGGAGAAAGCATCTAAATAGATAGACAGCTTTTAATGCCAGCGTTTTTAACGCTTGCCCTGTACGTGGATTGATTTTTTTTTTCTCTCCAGCATTCCCTCAGCAGATGGATTTTTGCCACTGCAGCTCAGCAGAGGGTGTCAGATCTTTCAGTGTGCACCAGGTTGAAACGAGCAGAGCCTCTTAGCAACTCTCCCTCTGCGTGCATGTGAGTGTGTGCGAGCGTGCGACTCAGCAGCAGCGGAAGAAAGAGGAAAGAAGAGCGAGAGAGCGGGCGAGCGAGCGAGGAGGGGAGGCAGCGCGGCCGGCAGGGCGAGGCGAGGCGAGGCGCGGCGCGGAGCGGTGCGGCGGGTGAAGGGGTGGTCGGTGGGGCGATAGGGCTGTGGGGCGGCCCCGGCCCCGCGGCAGGCTCCGGCCGCTGGCACGGGCATGGGAAGCAGCGCAGCGCAGCGGAGGCCGGCGTGGCGCCGCGCCTGCGGCTCGGCGGCTAGAGCCTAGGCTGGGGCGCGCTTTCAGCACCGGGCGCCCGGACAGCGCCCGGCGGGTGGCGGGCGAGAAGCGCGGCTCCGCGGGCACGCGGCAAGGTCAGCCCTGCGCGGAGCCGCGCAAGGGGCATCCTCCGCGGCCAGCGCCGCGCTTTCCGCCTGCGCGGCTCGGACATGCCGCGGGCCAGCAGCAGCAATCCCTCGGCGGTGAGACAGCCTGCCCGGCAGCAGACCTCCGCTTAGGTTACCGGGAGCCGACAGGGAGGGGGACCGAGTAGGGGCATTCTTTTATTTCTTTCTTTTTTTTTTTTTTTTTTTTTCCTTCTACTTTTTTTTTTGTTTGTTTTTTTTTTATGCGTGCTTGCAGTACGTGCCTGGATAATTTGTGGATAAAATTATTGACTGGAATCTGGGCTGTTGCAGTTGTACTTGGGAGGGGGAGAGAGGGAGAGAGGAGAGAAGAAAGCATCCCCCCTCTGCCGACCCTCCTTGCTCCCCCTCCCCACATTTTCTTTTATTTTTTTTTTTTTTTCCTCCCCCCTTGTTGGATTCGGACATTTAATGTACTGAATGAACTGGAATTGCTTTCCGTGCGAGGAGGATGGTTGCTGTTACTTTGTGACGAGAACGGGAATGAATTGCTCGGTTTAAAAATGCTGCTTTGGATTCTGTTGCTGGAGACGTCTCTTTGTTTTGCTGCTGGAAACGTTACAGGGGACGTTTGCAAAGAGAAGATCTGTGCCTGCAACGAGATAGAAGGGGATTTGCACGTAGACTGTGAGAAAAAGGGATTTACCAGCCTGCAACATTTCACTGCCCCGACATCCCAGTTTTACCATTTATTCCTGCATGGCAATTCCTTAACTCGACTTTTCCCTAATGAGTTTGCTAACTTTTACAATGCAGTTAGTTTGCACATGGAAAACAACGGTTTGCATGAGATTGTTCCTGGGGCTTTCCTTGGGCTGCAGCTGGTGAAACGCTTGCACATAAACAACAACAAGATCAAATCATTCAGGAAGCAGACTTTCCTGGGGCTGGACGATCTGGAATACCTCCAGGCAGATTTTAATCTATTGCGGGATATTGACCCGGGAGCATTTAGGGACTTAAACAAACTGGAGGTGCTGATTTTAAATGACAATCTTATCAGCACCTTGCCCCCCAACGTGTTTCAGTATGTGCCCATCACCCACCTCGACCTCCGGGGAAATCGTCTTAAAACCTTGCCTTACGAGGAGGTCCTGGAGCAGATCCCAGGAATTGCTGAAATCCTGCTAGAGGATAACCCTTGGGACTGCACTTGCGATCTGCTGTCGTTGAAGGAATGGCTGGAGAACATACCCAAAAATGCTTTGATCGGCAGAGTGATTTGTGAGGCTCCCACTAGGTTGCAGGGCAAAGATTTAAATGAGACCACAGAGCAAGAGCTGTGCAAAAAGAACAGAGTGGATTCTAGCCTAGCTGCTCCCCCTGCCGAGGAAGAAACCTGCGATCCTGGTCCCATTCCAACTCCCTTTAAAATACATGGCAAAGAAGACCCTGCCACACCAGGATCTGGTCCAAGCGGAGGTACAAAGATTCCTGTCAACTGGCAAATTAAGACCAGACCCACTGCTGCTGTGTCAACAGTTAGCGTGAAGAACAAGCTACCAGCTACAGTGTCCTGCCCACAGATCTGCAGCTGTGATCAGATCCCTGGCTCGGGTTTAAAGGTTAATTGCAATGACAGGAACGTGAGCAGCTTGGTGGATTTGAAGCCCAAGCCATCCAATGTGCAGGAGCTGTTCCTGAGAGACAACAAAATACACACCATCAGGAAACCCCACTTTCTGGATTACCGGAAACTTAATCTACTCGATCTGGGCAACAACAACATTGCCACTGTAGAGAACAACACCTTTAAGAATCTCTTTGAGCTCCGATGGCTCTACATGGATAGCAACTACTTAGACACCCTGTCCCGGGAGAAATTTGCTGGGCTGCAAAACCTGGAGTACCTGAACGTGGAGTTTAATGGCATCCAGCTGATCATGCCAGGCACCTTCAATGCAATGCCCAAACTGAGAGTCCTCATCCTCAACAACAACCTGCTGAGGTCTCTCCCAGTAGATGTGTTTGCTGGGGTCTCGCTTTCCAAGCTGAGCATACACAACAATTATTTCATGTACCTTCCAGTGGCAGGGGTGCTGGACCAGCTCACCTCCATCACCCAGATCGATCTGCATGGTAACCCATGGGACTGTACTTGCCCTATTGTGCCTTTCAAACAGTGGGCAGAGATGCTGCGCCCCAAGGTGATTATGAGTGACCTGAGGTGTGAGTCCCCCGAAGATTTCTTCAAGGAGGATTTCGAGTCTCTCTCCAACGACGTTATTTGCCCTCAGTTAAAAATCTCGCCCACATTATCTTCTACTAATAAAAACAGCACCGGCTTGACAGAGACAGGTACTCACTCCAACTCCTACTTGGAGACCAGCCGTGTCTCTATTTCGGTGCTAGTGCCAGGGCTCCTGCTGGTTTTTGTGACCTCTGCCTTCACGGTGGTTGGCATGCTGGTGTTCATCCTGAGGAACAGAAAGCGGTCCAAGAGGAGGGATGCCAACTCCTCTGCATCCGAAATCAACTCTTTGCAGACCGTCTGCGACTCGTCCTACTGGCACAACGGGCCCTACAGTGCTGACGGGGCCCACAGGGTTTACGACTGCGGCTCACACTCGCTCTCGGACTGAGGCGGCGGGCGGGACGGGAGCGGCCTCCACCCGGGACCGGGACCGGCCCTTCGCTCTCTGCGGGTGGGGAGGCAGCGCCATCCGGGGACTCCTCTGCACCTCAGCGACCTTCGGTGAGAAACAGCAGAACACACGCACGCCTCCCGCCCCCAAAAAACCATGGCAAGCACCGAGGCCCCGTGAGCGGCGGGGGCAGCCCGACGTTGAGGCGCAGCCGCGCAGCTCCGTGCATCCCGGCGCGGTGGGAGCATCCCCCGCCCCTGAGCTGCTAGGGCAGCAACGGACAAGAGAGGACCCTTTTCCTTTGGCTCCGGCTGGGCGAAACACGACTCCCGGTTATGCTGGGCTTTTGTTCTGTTGTGTTGGGGTTTGTTTTGCTTCTTTTTATCCTCTTCTCGTGTGGACCGAGCCCTCTCCGAGAGGCCGGGAAGAGGAGGGGGGCGGAGGAAAGGCTGGCGTCGGCCTCCTCCTGACAGCAAAGCAGGAGTGGAAAGTTGCACGAAGGCATGAATGTAATGTAAATAAATGACTCCGAAACAAACAGACAAATGGACACACACGAAAAAAAAAAAAAAAAAGTGCTGCATGGCTCGCATGGATACAACGCACCCCAGGGACGCTCCAGCCTCCGACTGGAAGCAGCGTCTAGTTCACACCATCATCCCTCTTACCTGATAAGTCCCTTCGTATCAAACCTTCTAGATAAGAAATACAGTATAATAAAAAGTGCCATTTCGCCATTTTTGTGTGATCAATAGGCAGTAGAGATCGTACTTTTACCGTGGAAGACAATGTAAAGGTTTTATTTAAGACATAGTTGCATGGATATTCTCATTGGATTTTTTTATTATTTTTTTATTTTATTTTTTTGAGGCAGGAATTACTTTGCTGGGACAGATTTGCTTTGTTGACGCTGGGTTGTGTTTTGGTTTTCGGGAGGGAGGAGGGGAGGCTTTGGTTTTGTTTTCTCTCTCTTTCAATATACATATTCAGTATTGCCTTTCCGTCTGAATGTAAAAATTAGTACCCTTGATTTCTATTATGGTAACAGTGTAAACATACAAAGAAAAAATCCAAGGCAGTTAAGCATGACCAATTAATGTCACTCTAGTGCTTAGGCTGCAAAGTTTAATGGTAGAAAATTCTGTGCTGTTGTAAATCTTACTATAACTTGAGGAAACCAGGACTGAGGAAGCAAGTGAAACTTACTAATTCTATTCGAGGATTTTATAATGGCATATTTTTTCAGTATTAAAGTGAAAATGTTTTCAACTCCGGGTCCTTACCATTTTTCCAGCATCAGTTCTTTGTAAGTGGGTTATTTGGGTTTAGGGGACAGAGCCTCCTTTCAGTGCTCTGTGTGTGTGTTTCTCTCCCTCCCTCTCTCTTTCCCTCTTTTCCCCTCTTTCTCTCTCTCATTCATTCACGCGCAGAGGCACAAACATCCTTTCCTCACCCCTTCCCCACTGTAAATAACACACAGAAGTTTCCTGCCTCCGCCCCTCTTCCTTGCCTTCCTCGCCTTCCTCTTTTTTTTTTTCCTTTTTCCTTAATATATAATGAGGTAGTGAATCCCTTTATTAACACTGATGTCGCTGCCTCTTCTGCACACACTGCAGATGTATTAAGGATGTTAGTGGGAATTTGATTTAATTGACTCTGCCTAGCTCGGTTTCACTAAACCGGAGTTGGATTTCAGCTCTCAGCAGCAGCACTTGGGGCCCGCAGGCAGCCTGTGGTGCTGCCGGCAAGGCGGGGCTGCTGTGGGAGGCCGGGCTGCAGTAGCTGCTCCAAGTGGGAAAATTAATTAGCAAAGGGACTTTACCATCCCTGCTCTGGGTAGCTGCACCCTTTGATATTAAATGCTGGGAAAGTAAAAAATCCAACACGGCGCAGTGCTGCAGCTGGATTTCAGGCAGCTCTTATCTGGTTCCGTTGCTGTGTGGGAAAGTGCCCCTAAACTCAGTAAAACCTGTAAAGGCGAAAGTCCC